TGTTACATGCAGAAAGTATAACATATTTGTGCAAATGGCTGGAGGTAGACCTTTCCACTAGTGTTGCCAGACTGGGCTCACCGCTTTGAAGATGGCTATGGCCATGGTTGGCCATGTAGGTTCGAGAATTAAAAAATGTTGCTATGTTTATTACTCCCCCATCACTTCTGATTTCATCAGAAACAATCACACCTTTTGATTTTCGAATAGAACACCTCATATTTCATTCAAGTATCGGTTAGAGATTATCATAACGAATGTAACCATACCCGGTTTGATAGGGTTATTTCAAACCAATACGAAGATATTCGCGTTCAAAATTTCCATAATATGCTCGATGAATAGACTTCGGGAGTAGATGTTATTCAAAGTTCTACCAGGCATTAGTCAGGTAAGTAGGTGTTTTTCCTCCGTCATCTACCATTGTTGTTCATTTTACGAACATATGTATCTAAGTATTCAAAATTTCATTCCACCTTGAATCATTTGGCTTCTTCGTAGTTGTTATAACCAATTGTTTAACAGTTGCCAAAACTTCGATTTGCAGATTTCCACACCAAGAATTCCTATTCATCGGCCACTTTCCTTGAGACTGCTCAATAGTATCTTCCCGCATGGTTTAGTTTAAAAGAATATCTTAAGCTTACTCGAATTACTCTCCAACTATACTTTTTTTTCGCAATATCACAGAGATTATATATGATATTATGTAATATCATACAGAGCAGATTCTCAGATTGAACATAATTGTTAGATACATGCACTTAATTGGATCACACTGCATGTCTGCCTGAAAAGTAGTGGAAGAATGGAGGTTTGGAGGGTTAATCAACTTTTTTTCTCTTTTCGAACCCTAGTGTATAATGTATATCCCAGACAATATAGTTTGGGATTATTCTATAGTTACTTCGAATGCCTGTCATGGGCAGCATTAGAAGTCCATTTTCAGTGTGTAGGATGATCCCATTGGATTTTCCGATTGAATAGTCTCACAGAAGAGTGTTTAACACGTCTCGAGGGACCATAAGCATTCCAACTCCCGCATGTTTCGATCTGAAGCAGCTCCGATAAACCGTATTCAATACCGCGAAGTTCAATTTGATACCTGATAATAAGGGGTTAGTTCTTCATAGTCCATTTGGTATTCTTGAAAAATCTCATCATCATCATTATTATTATTCACACATTTATCATCAAGTTGAATTAATCCAATACGAATATATTAAACTAGCATAATAATGTGGACTTGATCTACTGTTTTAGTGAAAAACCGACTTGTTGAAATAATAGTTTCAGTTTTATGAGAGATTTAAACTTGTGAATCGCCTATGAACTGTAGACATATATTAGTGTAGAAAAATTAGGCTTGTTCAGCTTACGTTCTGGATAACTTAAAATGATCGCAGTGAGTATTTATTATCCTTGTATTTTCCTAGATAGCTCTTATGTACTCGCAGCGAAGAAGAAAATGTCAAGTTTGTGGTGAGATACATACATTTGAGATTCCTCTGAGAGACTTCTGAGAATTTCATATGGTAACAAGTCTTCAGGAAGATCTATATATCAATCTGAGATATCCAGATAGATGAGATAGAAAAGATACTAGCGACTGACAGATTTGCAATAGTTGAATCATTGATGGTACTGATGACTCTTCTTCGTACTGACTCGAGAAAACTTAGATCACGTGTGTTGGCGCTGATCTTCAGGCAAGCGAATAATATGATGAACATTATGAAGAAATGGATCTCAATCAATATTGTAACATAGAGACCAATACATTTGTCTTAACGTATTCTTGAGAGATGTTCGTTCCAAAAGCTGCTATGAAGTGAAATATAGTATCCAATCATATCAAACAACAAAATATCTAAGCATACTGATAATTGCCTATGAACTGTAGAATGATAATGAAGATGATGGAAAGCTCTAATTTCGAGTGACTACGGAAAATGAACAAACTCCACCTCCCCGCGTGAGATTCGAACTGACAACCTCTGGGTTACACATGCCAATGGGCAGCTTCTCAGCAATGTTCTTTAAGTTCCTATTCCACAGAATCATACACCACAGGATCATACACCACAGGATCATTATTCATTACATGCAGTGAATATTGATGAAACTATTTCAGATTTGTTTTCCTCCACAAGTGAATGAGAATGAGAAGGCAGTGTTTCTACTGGGGACAGTTTCCCTAAAATTTGAATCAGCATCAAGATATAATCAAATGTACATTATTTTGGAGTTGGATAACAGACAGGAGAATGCATAACTATACTACCACCGAAACCTTCATTCCGATTTAATTAAAATCAGGACCAAATATCTTTCAATTTGATGAGTTAATAATTTTATACTATACTATGCGCTGACGATAATTGAATAATGTTGAAGTTTCATCAAATTAGTTTCACACTGATTTGAATTATGACTGATTCGACAAAATGAAATGGTCATTTCAATTCTCGAACTAGAGCGACTGAGAAATATTTCGCCGGAAACCTTTTGAAGTTTTACTGTTAGGTGCGAATCTCCGAACAAGCCCGAACTGAAAACGAAGGCAAAAAATTCAACGTTTAACTCATGAATTGAAAGAGCATGAGAGTGAAACTAATGCTTATTGCTTACCACCATCAGTGATATCCAAAAGTATTGTATTTCTGACGAACTTTCAGGTCTATAGAGATAAAATTCAACTGGAAAAACATCAACTGGATCACAATCGACAATAAGTACGAATATAATTAAAACACCGGTATAATACTAGACTGTGAGGAGAAAAGAAGTAATCGAAAACAACAATAAACAATGGAAACATAACCTCAATCAATTCGCAGCCATCAGCATGGTTTAGTGTAAAACTGGTCAGCAGAATGGTGAAGACGCCGAAACTATTACCTCGATTATTACTCTGAAGTTGACCCACAGCCTATATTGAGAAAATAAAGAGTATGTATATCATGAAGTTCTATCAATTCTCAATGTCTCAATGTCTCATGAAAAATATTTTTCTTCATATAAATTTCTTAGAGAATGCTGCTGATGATGGGCTATTGATGGTCCGAAACATGTACATATATTTCTTATGTGTATATTGATAAATTTGTGGAGATGACTCAGTGTGTCTTGTTTCTGAAACGTATTCACTCCACTTTGTTAAAATATGGACTTCTATCATAGGTTATTAGATATACTCAATATACTGTCACACTCTGCTCCATCGTCTATGCTTATTTAAGTCAACCCCATGGTAGTGAAGCTTCCGAAGCAGTATACTCCATGATCAACGCAATCAAAAGCTTTTGAAAAGTCACAAAACACTGCAGCGGTAACCTCACCACTATTGATGTCTTCATAAACCCTATAACCTATCCTACCTACGGGTATTATGACAGAAGTATTCAGAAATTGCGGATAAGTACCAGTATTGAACGATTGGTTAATACCAATGATACCTATTGATTTCGACATGACCCATTTTTGACCAATACAATGATACATGACTGATTCCATTTCATCTCATTGTTATATTTATTTCCCTAAACTTAATTTTTTCTTCGAAGAAAACACCCTACATTTCAGAAGTATCCATTCAAGGATGTTCGTCATATTCCAAACAATATTTTTATGATTTTTTTAGTTTACCAAGAGATGAGGAAACCAAATCAAATTGGAATATCTGGCTTTACGTACCTATGCCAACTGATAACCGAAACCCTCTAACCGCCAACTTCCGAACCTATCCTTCGGGACAACAAACCTTGAACAAGGAGTCCCGCCTTGCGTGTCTCTATTCAATGGTGGAAAGAGATGAGAGAGAGCAGAGAGAAGCTGTGCTGTAGACTCGCGTATTCGGGTCACAGAGATCGATCAGCTGCTGAAGCTTCGCGTATACCACACAGGTTCGGGAATCTCGGTTTCGTAACGCTGTTTCCAATGTTGCCACGTTTGAGTGGACGATCGGCAGGCGACGTTTTTCGCGGTCGGGAAACAGGCGCGTGCCTGTTGGAGGGGGGATGATAAGGTAATTACCCCCATTGCTATTTTTTTTATGTACTGGTTCCCACGAGAAGAGATATCCTGTAATGTTTAGAGAACATCGTGAGAACCAAGGAGAATAAGGTAGGAATTGATGTTCTTCTTGAATTTCTGGAGGTAATATGCCTCGGGGAACACCCTCCTTGGCAATGTGTTCCAGAGCCTCGCTGTTCGTTGGATGAACGACTCTTTGAGAAGAGCAGGTCTCCAGAGTGACCACGAAGGGGTGCGAAGCCTCAACTCGACGGGTTAATCTCGTGAGGACTGCCAAGGGAGGTACACTTGTTGATATTTCAGAAGAGCATCGTCCATGAAAATATCTATAAAATAGAGCCAGTTCACCTACTTTTCTACGGTGTTCCAGAGAAGTGAGTGAGTTCGTGAGCGAGGCATCATCCACGAGACGAATTGCCCTTTTTTGGACATAATCCAACAGTTTCAGGCCACTTTCGGGTCCTGCACTCCAAATATGGAAACAGTATTCCAGGACAGGTCGGATCTGTGCCTTATAGATCATGAGCAGCTGACTGGAAGTGAAATAGCTCCTGGCCCGAAACATGAAACCAAGTTTTTGGGATGGACTTTTCGCAATTGATCTCACGTGATTTTCCCAAGAAAGGTTATTGCTGATGGTAATACCAAGCATCGAAATGGATGTCTTCAAAGGTATGGTTACTCCTGACATGCTTATGTTTGAACTCCCTGGGCAAGTTATTGAAATTTTCAATTTAATTACGTAGTTCAAATACAATTTGCTTTCCAAAAATAACAAATTCCATCCTAGAAGTCAAATATTACACCCGATAGTATCCCTCCGCCTGTAGAATAGTAAATAAGGCTCTTGTGTGTTCTGCGACTTCAACACTTGCTTCTCGGTGACTGTCCTAATCGTCATCGAAGCGCAACTAACAGCTATGTTCCATTTGGAAGGCATCGGTGAAATAGTGGCCCCAGGTTGCCTAATCGCCGATGTGGTAGACCACGGCAAACAACATATACCTTCTTCCTTCGGGCGTTTGTGACTCCGAAGATAACCTCGATTCGATTTTTAGGTCGACAGGGAATTCCAACGCCTTGCTGATTTTCGTACAGCTTTCTGAGTTGAAATCGAAGAATTTCAGATGCAGAATGAGAATGAGTGGCAGCAATTGCTGCAACGCCTGTACCTCTTCATTTGTGTTAGGAGAAGTAAATCCTTCCAGCTGCTCCTTATTCACAAGTGTCTCCAGAGCCTCTTTGATCGTCTTCACCTTGTCGACATTCAGTTGCAGAGTCAGGAACGGTTGATTATTCTCCGTGGACACATATCCAGCTCGCATGATTTTTGATCTCAACTGGCCGCCAACAATAGCGCGTATTGGCGTCTTCTCGAAGACTGTACTTTTTGAATCACTGCAAGTATTCTCCGAATCCAAAACTGGTTTCATCAATTCGAACATCTCGTCGTTGAGGCCGTTCAGTAGGAATCCGAGGAACTCTTCTGCGTCTTCCTGCCTGCCCTCAATCAGGTCCTAGCGAAGATTAGCCAACATCTTGTAGATCCAGATAGGCTCGAATGGGACCGTGTCGATCAAAACGATGTCTTCTTTTCTTGCCGTCTTGTTGTAAAAGTTTCTGCCACTCGTCTTCTTCACCAGCGACATATGGTTGGATTCTTGAACGAAGCGACACATGCCATCAATAATTGGAGTAGGATACCAATATTTACTTGATGAAATTTCCTGTGCTAGAAAAACTGATGAATTCAAAAATGGAGGACAATTCAATTTCAATTCAATTTATTGTATCATTTGATGTTTGTAGAATTGAATTAATGTAGCAATAGTTCCTATAGTTCAGTAAACCTCCAGGTTTTAAATTCATATCTTTCACTTCCAAGTTATAAGAAATCAAATACTGACCCATTCCATTCGAAACAGAAGTACCAACGGACTTGGTGGGATCGAAGTGATGTGAAACTAGTTCGTCAGGTGGAGTTATGTCGGAGCATTTGTGATTCGAATATAAAATGACTGAAGAATCTTTGATATAATTATTAGTATTGTAATAAAGATTTCGATGTTTTGGAGTCATGGGTTGAAGGAAGATTTCATATATAGGCTCTTCGAGGTAGGGAGGGTGCCCATGACTGATGCAGCATTTTCCCTCTGAGTGGCAATACTAATCCTCTGAATTAAAAATGTATAAGCTCTAGGAGCATCAGACGTTTTTTCCATTCTTCTTCCGAAGGCATGAGTTCGGAAACGCTCCGTATGTCTCGATGGCGATTGGGTAAAATGAGTAATAACTCTCCCAGATTCGAATATTTGCGTATTTTCAATTTCTTTGCAGAAATGGCTGCGGCACCGATCATATTACAGGTCGAGAAGAGGTGAGAGGCTCCTACAGTATCGACACAAGTAAAATCCCAAACCAAAGGCTTTCCAAATTTCCATTCCATCTGGACGCTTTCCATCGTCTCTGCTTATTCCAAGAGTTATTTATTATCATCAGTTTTGAACTATCAAACTTCAACAGGAAATATATAGGATATACCTATGAGGAAAATGATTATTTTTGATTTTATTCAAAAATTTTCTGAACGCACGATATAATCCATCAAACACGACATATCTGGCGATTCAATGGTCCATTGATTTGATCGATGGCATACTGCTGGTGATATTTTTCGGTGATGAAAAAATACATGTTCATTGCTGTTTCAATCATATAATACATATTATGTTGCACTTGCACTGTGCTGGTACAATAGTGTATTTCCAATGAATCAGGATCATGGCATTGGGGAATCAATCAAATAAGATCACTAGAACAGTACTGGTTGAACGATGAATAAAGGATATAGGTTCCTCAATGTCATTAAGTTATCAATGAAATGACAATGGACCATCACTAGGTCTTCCATTTCGTTTTTTATATCCTTTTGTGCATGCCACTTATCAGTGACATATAGTGAATGAGTGATGTTGGTATTTTTTGTAGCGCATATACAAACTCGGCCACAGTGCCCATATAAATGAGTTGATCTTGAATCTACCATTTTTATGTTCAGTTTTCAGTAGTGGATAACATGTTCTATCTATATCAACTGAACAAAAAGTAATGCTATTTTCTCCGTTCAGAAGAATGCAAGCGGATTCCTTTGTTTTTTCTCTTGGTTGTTATCTTCTTTTCCTATGAAGATATTTTTTGTATTTTCATAAATATAGTAAAAATTGTAAAATATATAAATTCAAGGCTAATACTCAGAGTATCATATCAGTGTTATATATTTTTGGAAAGCACAAAGCATCAATGATTCAAAAATGGAAAAATATACAGGGTGTTCCATTTAAAAAAGAACATACCTTTTAGTAATGTTATATCTGTTTAATAACAGCCTATTTTTAGAATCTGACTACGCCACTGGATTCCACGGGAAAAAATGTATGAGTGACAGTCTTCCCTCTTCCTATAAGTTGGAAGATAGCTGCGATACGGAGGGGGAGGAGGTCCCCAAATGCAACACTCAATTTTACCCTGTATCGTGAGTTTCACAAAAAAGTAGCGAAAACTGCAAATCTCTATCTTCAAAAATAAGTGAGCTATCCCGTAAAGGATATCGAATATGGAACAGCCTGTACAGTAACACTGGATCGCATGCCTTTTCAGCTAAGGCTCCATTGGAATCCTGAGGGTTTGTCCACTAATTCATTTTGTCATAATATATAATTTCCCTCGCTAACACTTTTCTATTTGTATTTTCGTGGTAAAAATAATTTATTTTGACGAGTTTTCTCATCTTGTACACCCCGAATAAGAATCTGTGGCACTCTGTTCTTTTATTTTTCATTCCACTCTCGTATGAAAACTACATTTTATTGCTAGATTTTTCTCCGCCAGACAGCTGGAGTATCAGAATGTCCGCATCCCGACATCTACTCTAAAATTCCTTTGATATCAGTTAGACTGCTCGAGACTGGTATTTGATTCGTTGTGTAATGGTTATTTCCGTGTTTCCCATGAAATTCCTCAGATCCTGAGGGGATGCCGATAAGGATCGCCTAAGAGGAAGACGGGAAGCAAAGAGACCAACATCGGTTTTGCTAAGTAGAAAACCCTTTGAAACGATTTGATTTGGCCATACTGAAATAAAATCTGAAAGTTACCAGATTCTGTCCATTAATCAGTATTGGGTATGAAGAGAAAGAAGAAAATCTGTTCATTATAATATTATAAACTGTATATAGTATCTGAAAACTATTCAAAACAATTGAATGATATCATTATTATATTGATGAAAGAAACCTCTGGTGTACGCATTTCAATCCTTTGCTGTTTTACAATTCCTTGATTTTCGCCTACTTCGATGAACATAACATGGCGTGGGTGAATGTCGCTAAATTTAGTCTGGTGCCGTACCAAAATTACAGGCATCAATGTGACAATTGTGACCGAATTGTGACCAATGAAGATAGGGAATACATTTTGCGATTTAGCCGCATCAAGGTTGGTAGAACTGATGTTGATCATAAGTTCTAAGAATCACGCCATCTAACATTCGATATGTGAACCCCACGTCATCGTCTGAAATTCAATTGTTTATATCAAGAACCAGTCTGACGAAACAAATGAAGAGTGAGCGCACCAGAGGTTTATTTCATCAATATTATTATCAATATTTTCAAATTTCAGAGAAAACACAAACTCCAATTCGGTCGACCACACAAACAGAAAGCGATTTCGGCAAAACGGCCACCATCAGACTAAGACCTAAAATACATTTTCAAGGAGGAATTAAATGGTTTTTGAATGTATGACAAATTGATATTCATGATACAGGACGTGGAAATAAATTCTGAATTGAGAAAACCTAATCACGTATCCGCGATTGAAGGTCTATCAAAATAACGAGTTTTCATCGTTCCAGTTTGAACCCATTGATTAGATGAAAGTATTGAAAAGGAATATTCTCAGATAAAATTATGAACATAAAAAAATGGATATATGTACAAAGAAATACATTGAGAATTCGCATTCTCTATGTGATAAAAATATCAATAATTTTTTCTTGATTTATTCAACATAAAACAAATACTTTCCCTGCTAAATGCCACGATAAACATTGAATTATTCATATCTATTGAACACACAGGATGAGAATTTGAAAACAAAATCTTCAGAAGTTGAGAATTTGCAGTCTCCTTCAAATAAAAATATGTATATGCATATTCAACAGAGAACAACTACTATCCTGGCTATTTGCCACGTCGAACATTGATATAATTACCTGTTGAACATTCAAAAGGAGAGCATTGAAAATGAGAATCCTCTGAAATTAACAATTGACATTCTCTCTCAAATCGGATGGAATAATATGATGTATTATGTATTATGCTATACTACATGATGGTGTGTTCAGATTTGCTACCATCATCAACTTCCATAGGGCGCCATATTGAATTATTACTGTTTTGAATAGAACCTGCTTTTCTCTTTTCAATGCACTGATTTATAAAATCAATTACTTCGTATGTCACTGTATTCTTGGCTGCAGTAGCGGCGTTAGGGTAGGGCGCGGTTGGGCGACCGCCCAGGGCGCCGGATGAAAAGGGGCGCCGCAGAAACCCATATAAATTCCTCAAATTTTTCAAATCAACGTCATTAGCACATCTCACAATCAACAGATATAGATCTCAGTAAATGCACAGAAATGTTGAAAGAATGCTGCACTTTCTCGTGAGAATATAGAAATATTAACTCTGAAATTGCTATTTTAACTGCAGAGGAATTGGCTGAAGAAATAGAAATTGAACCTAAGCTTGGACCTAATCTTAGTGCCACATGGATAATTCAATATGTTGAGCGTCAAGCTGGTGAAACTGCCCGCCAAAAAATCAGGTTTAATTTTTCATTCATTCCAGAATGATGAAAGTAAGATATGATGCGCGTATTCGGCCATTATTACGTATTGAAAATTCCAGAAAAATCACTCGACCGCCTACTATGATTTCTCTACGTCACAACGAGCGAGACATTTTCCTGCTAGATGGTGATGGTGCTATTGCTGCTGTGACGAGTGGAAATAAAATAGCAAATGGGAATATTCAACTCTGAATTCGAAAAATCTGCGACAATTTCAAAACTGACAGATGTCACAATTGTGCAATGTCGCCATCTATTAGAAGATCGACGGAAACGCAATGCTCTCGCTGTTCTCGAGAGGCCGAGTCAAATTTCTGAAACAAAAGCGCATCAGTAATTACACCATATCTCAATTTCATCATTCATTTCAGTTAATGAAATATTTGAAGTTAAATGAGTACTACAAATCTTGGTACTTTTGTACAATATAAAACAAATTTCTAAACAACTCGACCTTTAATTGACAAGGTATATGTGGTGTGATAAACTCACCTAATCAGAATTTGGTTACTCCTGCATATATTTTGAATTTTATAAAAGATCGCAACTAAAAAGAACTTTATCAAAATGTATGATTAGCATTGCGAATATTATTGACTTTATATACCTGTAAAATGGTTGCTAGTTTCCAGTTTTCCTGAGAATAATGTGATAAAAACCTATCTGCGATCGACAATATCTCAATCTAGATTGACAAACTTGACAACTTTGTCAATTGGAAATAAAATTGCTGAAAATA